AGTGTATGGAATTGGTTAATATCACCCCATGATGATTTCCAAAAGATGAAGCAATCATCTAGATATCTTTTCCAAGATTTAGTGAATTGGGTCTTTATATTTGTCCCATATATTTGTTCTATCTTTTCATAGAGGTTTTCTTCTAGGTAAGCTAATGTTAGGGTGGCATATGTTGGTGCCATTTTTGTTCCCATCGCAGTACCTAGGGTTTGATATAGTTTTGTTGTCAAATTCAAAGGTGTTATTGTTTAGAATTAGGTCTATACTATCGATAATGAACTCTTTAGTGAATCTCGGATGTAGTATTTCTGGATGTTTTTCAATCCAGAATGAGATCGCTTTTTTCCCTAGTTCATGGGGTATGTTACTGTATAGGCTACTGATGTCAAAAGTTGCCATAAGCGTTCCCGGATCTACTTTTTGTGGTATGCAGCTAAGGAAATGGATATCGTCTCTGATGTGGCTTTTAATTTGTTTAGTATATGGTTGCAATATTATGTCTATTAGGTTACTGAGTTTGCTAGTGGGACAGACTGGTCCTGCTACTATGGGTCTGAATGTAAGGTCACTGGGGTTTGGGATGCTAATATATTCAGATTTTTGTGTATTTTTTTACTTCACTCGATTTATGAACTTTAGGTAGTCCGTAGAAATTACTTGTTTTTGGTACAAAGTTTATTAGGAAATCCTTCTCTTTTTTTGTTAATATTTTATTATGTGTTGTGCAGAGTTTTGTAATTTTTGTTATAATGTTTTTGTCTATGTTAGTGTCAATTACTTTGTAGCTGTTCCTATCCTCTAGTGTTTCTAGAATTTTTGTTTTATAGTATGTTCTGTCCATGATTACTATAGCGCTGCCTTTATCTGCTTCTTTTATAATTATGTTATTATTTTTTCGAATGTTCTCTAAGGCTAGTCTTTGTCTATATGTGAGATTGTCGAATGATTTGGATTTTTCCTGTAGGTCAAGGTTCCAGAGTTTTTCAAAAATATATTTATCTCATTGGTATTGTTATTTTGTTTGGGAATAAATTGGATTTGTTTTTTACTAGTGACTCATCTGTACTACTTTCGCTATTGTTAAATATTTCTCTTAGTCTCAGTTTGCGTTCAAATTCCTTAATGTCTTTTTTTTTAAGTCTACTATATTGCTTTTTAGAGCAGCAGGACAGAATTTTAGGCCCAATTTCAGTAGGTTGATTTCGTCATTTGTAAGTGTATATGTAGATAGGTTTATTATTTTGGGTTTTGTGTCATCTAAACGGGTTTTCTTGTTCGGACTGGGGCTTCTAAAAAATAATGATTGTTTCTTTTAATATATCTTGGGTTTTCTAAGAGATACCTTCTTCCTGTACATTTTGAGTTTTCTAGCCAGTGAGAGTTTCCCTTGGTAAAATTGGGGTTGTTGTTTCTCGATGGCTCTATATAGGTGTGTTGGCTTTTGTTAGGGGGCCTGTTCCAGATGTTCCTAGGTTTGTTGTTTTTGTATTGATTGTATGTGGATTGTGTGTAGAACTTTGTGAAATTCTGGTTGTACTCCTGGATATAGGTAATGGTTGCCTGGTTTGGTTTGTTGTGCTAGGTGGTATTTGTAAGAGTTGGTTGTGTGAATGTGTGTGTGTTCTGATCTTTGACTGTTTGTGTTATGGTGTGGTGGTCTGTACAGGTTTATTTTTGCGCTGTTCAGTGTATGTTCATAATTGTATTTTTTATGTGGGTGTGAATGCGTGTGGTGGTGGTATGTATTGGGGTTCCTGCTTTGTGTATGTGTTTGCGTGTAGTAGAATGTGTTAGGATAATTACTTTGTGAGTTAGTTTGTGGATGTGTTTGCGTATGGTAGAATGTGTTAGAGTGCTTACCTTGTGGGTCTGTTTGTGTGGGGGGGGTAGGGATTCGGGTTTTGACTCTGTTGGGTGGTTTTCTCTGTATTTGCTGATGATTATTTTGTGTTGGGTATTGGGGTTTTTTGTGAGTTTGGACTGTATTTTTTGTTTTTGCCTCATTTTCCAATTTTTCTTTACTTGGTAATGCTGGTTCCATGTAGCTTGGGAAATATGTGTGTATATGTGTGTGTGTAGTGACTACTTGTGGTGGGATAGTATGTATGTGCGTATGTGTGTGTATGCGTGTATAAGTACAAATAAGTTTACGAATTCCTCGTAGTAAGGAAATATACGCACGCATATATACACGCATGCTGACAGGAACACGCCAAAATAGAAACAGATCCAAGAGCACATAGAGGTCACTAAAACATTAAAAGATTAAATGCCGATAACTACTCGCTGGACAAACCTTAATTGTTTTATGACCCTTCACGCAGAACTCTTCATTGACAATTCTAGAAAGAAAATTCGGATTGCCAACACACAAACAGAATGTCTCATATCGAGAATATTCCACATTGAACATGAAGAAAAATTAATTATTTTTAATATGTAAAAATCTCCACTTTCACCTGAAGACGGTTGCGAGACCAGACCAGAAACACGTGTCGTGAAATTATGTAAAACAAAGTATAATATTTTTTCTCAATAAATCCACATTACAACCAAAAACGTTTGCGGCACCCCTCTTCTTTTTAATATACATACTTTTCTCTCGTTGGAACCACTACAACATATTTCTTTTATATATATATATATATATATATATATATATATATAAAACGTTGGATGTTGGTCTTTTTTTTTTCAAAAGAGGCTTTTTATTGTTTTATCTATCTTAATTCTCATATTTTGCTACCTCGTCTCTTTAAAAGGTCGTCTGTCATCTTTTTATTTTCTTTTTTTTATACAGAATATTTCATGTTTGTTTTAATTTGTTCCTACGGATTAAGGCCGATAACTTTTACTCCATGTTTATAAGATTTTTCTTCTTCTTTTCTTTCTCAATCGAATACTGTCGTCAATTTCTTGATTATTGGTTTCAATTTTCTTTCCGTCTTTCTCCCTCTTTCATTTCGCGCCTTCGTTTTTTCCTATTTATTTATATTTTTTTAATTTTCTTTTCATTGTGTTTTTATTTCAACAATTAATTCTTTATTTTTATGCAGATTATTTTTTATTTATTTAATGGCGATTTTTTTAACCTTTACTTATTTGTTCGTTCTTTCCTATTAATTGCTAAAATATTTATTTTATTTTTATTTCTTTCATTATTTTTTTTAATTCGGTGTGGTTTATTTATTTTCTCATGTTTCAGTTCACTCTTTCAAATAAGCTTAGAAGGAAAATTCATTCTTTCTCTTTTTCTCCTAATTACTTTTGTCTTCCTGTTGTTTCTTTCTTCCTCGACTTTTTTCTTCATTTCTTTTTCTTTCTATCTTTTTCCCAATTACTATTTTTTTCCGTTGATGTTCCTTTATTTATTTGGTTATCTCTTTATTTGTTTATAAATTTATTTTTATATTTACTTTGTATCTATTGCGTTTTGTTCTTTCTTTTAACCTCAATTATTTATTTCATTTTTTATACATTTCATTTTTCCGCATTTTTCATTGTTCTTTCTTCTTACTTAGAAAGTAAGACTGCCCTTTCTTTATATTTCATCCTTTATTTCTGATAAAAGATTACAATAGTGTCTTTTCTTCTCCGTTTTCTTTTACTTTCTTTCTCTACCTCATTACTTATTCACCTCATTTTAAACAAGTTATTTTTCATTCAGTAATCTCTTTCTTCCTTTGGCCCTGTTTTCTCTGAATTTATTTCGTAATTTATTCATTTTTCTTTTTCATTCTTGCACTTTTTGTTTGTTTCTTCTTTTTCATTTACTTTTCTTTCTTTCTGATTATGCCTTTAAGTCTTTTCATTTATATTCAGATTATTAAGTTGTATTCGTTTTTCCCCCATTATTTCTTTCTTTTTGCCCATATCTTTAAATCAGCAAATATTTCTTTCTTTTTGAACATATTAATTGATTTCATTTGACTTACATGTTTTTACTTTCAGACTCATTTATTATTACTTTTCATCGAGTTTTTGTTTTTGTTTTTAGTTTTATTGTAAGCACTTTATATCTAACGTGATTTCTTTGTATTTGTTAATCATTCATCTCTGTCGTCTGCTTTACTCATTTAAAAGTTTCATCTATCTCATTTTACTTTTTCATTTTCTTGTGCTCTTTCGCATTCGAATTCTTTTTCGTTCTTACCGTTTTCCTTCTTTTCTAATTATGTATCTTTTATTTATTTCTTTTTTTTTCGCTTTTGTTACATTGACTCCCACTTTTCTTTTACATTTCCACCTTCATCGCAATTAAGTTTTTTCTTCGTATTTTCCTGTTTCATTAACCATTTTTAATTCACAATTTCCTTTCATCTAAAAGTTAATAATAATAATCATAATGATAATAATAATAATCATAATCATAATAATAATAGTAATAATAATAATAAATGCTATCATTATTATTATATTTTAGATATTCATTAATTTTTTTCATTCATAGACTAATTAGAAATTATTGTTAACATTTGATTACATCCAACAAAAGAGGCCGCTCGTTGCAGTTGGTGTTTTTAAAATGCATTGCAGAAAGAGGTAACAGACGCTCACCTGCGTTCGGATTTGTGATAGAAAGAAGAAAGAAACCGAAATTGTTGATAGACAGAGGAAAAGGAAGAAGAAAAAAGAAGGAAAATGCAAGATGAGTGAATGTGAAAAAGGAGGAAAAAAAACTGATTCATGGAGTAGGAAATAAGAAAATCGTTCCAATTTAGTCGGCGAAATTAGTGAAGAACTAAAAAAAAATATATATAGGCAGTGAAAACTGACAGAAAAAGCTTTTCAAGATTTGTGCAGATCTTGGAAATCGTGTTGAGTGAACACAGGAAAAATAAGCCATGAGGTAATAAACGACAGACGCACCAAATAAAGTGCAAAAGGAAAGTGAAAATTATTACAGTAGAATTAGTGACATGGTTAAAATTATTTCCCACAGTAACAAAATAATAATAATAATAATAATAATAATAATAATAATAATAATAATAATACCATTAATAATAATGATAATAATAATAATAGCAACAACAACAAAAAGAAAAAGGGAAAAAGAAGGAAAATAGACACTCTAAAAAAAGTAATAATGATAAAAAAGAAACAAGGAAAACGTGAAGTCGAGAAAGAAGAAGAAGAAGAATAATAAGAAGAAGAACAACAACAACAACAAGATCAAGAAGATAAAGAAGAAGTAGAAGAAGAATGAAAAAATAAAGAAATAAAAACAGAAGCTCGGAAATAAAAGTAAAAAGTCGACAAAGAAGAAGAAAGCGAAGAAGAAACAGAAATTTGAAACCAACAAAGAAGAAAAAGAAGAAACAAAGAAAAAGGGAAGTGAAGAAGAAGAAGAAGAAGAAGAAGAAGAAGAAGAAGAAGAAGAAGAAAAAGAATGCTTGAGGTAGAAGTAAAAGGACAATTAAATAAACTGTGAAGTCGAGAAAGAAGAAGAAGAAAATGAAAAAAAAACAAAGAAAAATTGAAGCGAAGAAAGAAGAAGAAGAAAAAAAATAAGAAAAAGTAAGAAACAAAGAAACAGTAAAGCGAAGGGAGAAGAAGAAGAAGAAGAAAAAGAAGAAGAAGAAGAAGAGTTGAAGTCCAGAAAGTAGAAGAGGAAGAAAAAAAATAGTGAATCGTGGAAGATGAAGAAGAAACAATGATGTGATGCCAATAAAGAAAAAGGAAAAGAAGAAACACCGAAGCAGAGAAAGAAGAAGAAAAAGAAACAAAGAAAAAGTGAATTCGCGAAAGTAGAAGAAGAAAAAAAGAAACAATGAAACAGTGAAGCGAAGAAGAAGAAGAAGAAGAAGAAGAAGAAGAAGAAGAAAAAGAAGAAGAAGAAGAAGAAAAAGATGAAGAAATGAAAAAATGAAATAAGAGAAAATAACAGAGGTTCGAATGAAAGAGTAAACGAAGAAAAAAGTAGTAATAGTAATTATTAAATGAGGAGAAGATTCAGTCACCACTGCTATGAAAAGCATTTGAAAACATGGATGCAATTTCTGAACTTGTGGGAAAATTTAATTCAAAAGCTAAGCAGTGTATTAAGAAACAGAACAGTTTTTGTCATAAACCTAGTAAAGATTGATGATATTTTACGAAATATCATTTGGCGGCTTCTAGTCTAAGCCCTTTCTCTTCATCTTCCATTTTCATGTTCCTATAGCATTATGAAGTAAAGATATATGGAAAAACAACTCTGTCTACAATAAGTCCAATGAGGCGAAGAAACCATTCTCAGAGATTGAAACGCTGAAGTCTACAAAAGCACTAAATATCACAGAAATAGCAGGATGTAAAACATGCTATTCGCAAGAACGTACAACGTCAATTCGAGAAAGGTAAGCAGGAAAAAAGAACTTATCAAGGTATGAAATATTCATTGTCTCAGTGTTTGTTCTCAAAGTTAAAAACAGTCATCTCCGTTTGAATAACATTTATATAAAAACGTAAACGTGAAGTGAAATTAAAAGGTGAATATAGATCATCATCAATACGGCATCCGTGAATCGTGTAAAAAGTTGGATTACGCGTGTTTATGTGAGAATGCAGGTAAACATTTTCGAGCTTACGGTCATTGTATTTTGAAACACCTATTCTCGACAGATCAGCGAAGTTAAGCAATCTTACCAACATAAGAAACGCAGATGACATTGCTGACAGGAGGCACGGAAAAGAAAGAGAATTGGAAAACGTACCGTGATTCAGCATTGGCGGCTACTATCATACCACCATAAGATCCGCAGATGACATTACTGACAGCAGACACGGAAAAGAAACAGAATTGGAAACACTAAAATCAAGCAGGTGCGGAAGTTTCAATATCTGGGGAGTGTTTTGACGGAGGATGGTATGTGCAACGCTGAGATCCGAAGACGTATTGGGATGGCCGAGGACGCATTACAAAAGCTGGATATTACGAAACAGGAGGATCTCTTTGGTGACAAAGAAAGGAGTACTGAGCTGCTACGTGACGTCTGTCCTCCTATACGGCAACGAACGTTAAACGGTCTCCTCAAAGATGAAGAATAAACTCGAGACAACGGAAATATGGTTCTACAGAAGGATGTTAAGGATATCATGGACGGAGCATGTGAGCAACAATGAGGTTTTAGAGAGAATTCAAACAAGGTAGAAGCTTATACTTAACATCAGGAAGAGGCAGATGAAATTTCTCGGACACGTACTGAGAAAGAAGTGCCTGGAGAATCTAATAATCACAGGTCGAATAGAGAGAAAAATAGATAAAGAAAAGCAATGCATGACATACAAGGCAGGCTTAAGCAAGTGGATGGCAGAACGTAGTATGGGGGAGGTGGCAGAGAGCCGAAACTTTTTGAGACCTACAAGCGATAGAGTGAAGTAGAGAGCCATGATTGCTTTCGTCCCGAAAGGAAACGGCACATAAAAAGAAAGAAAGGTCTGATCAGTAAATCTAAGGGTAGCTGCTTGCTGGTGTAAACCTTTGACAGTATGCTTTGCTTCTGCGTGATAGAATAATGTCCCACTTCTCCAGATAACTGATAAAGTGAAAGATATGGGGAAGCTTTACGTTCAATGAAGGAGTTTTGCAGACTGATGAAAGAAAGAAATATAGAATGTCTAATAAAAAGAGTTACTGACAAAAAACAAAGAAAGAGAAATAAAATGTCGGAGGACTACGAAAATATAAAAAAAGAAAGAAAGAAAGACAGAAATAAATAAATAAATAAAGAAAGAAAGAAAGAATGAAGGCAAATGGAAAAGTTTACTTAATATAAAATAAAAGATAAACTAAAATGTCGGAGGGAAGCTTTACGTTTAATGAAGGAGTTTTGCAGACTGATGAAATAAATAAATAAATATAGAATATCTAATAAAAAGAGTTACTTACAAAAAACAAAGAAAGAGAAATAAAATGTCTGAGGACTACGAAGATATAAAAAAGAAAGAAAGAAAGACAGAAATAAATAAATAAAGAAAGAAAGAAAGAAAGAAAGAATAAAGGCAAATAGAAAAGTTTACTTAATATAAAATAAAATAAAAAATAAAATAAAATGTCGGAGGAGAAGGGAGACTAAGAAAGAAAAGTATATAGAATGTTTAAAAATAGTTTCATATAAAAAGTTGGTAAACTGACGGTAGACCAAGCAAATGTAAAAAAAAAAAAAAAAAATAAAAATAAACGAAAGAAAGAAAATAAAATAAAAATGTTTACTTATAATAAAAAAATAAAATGACAAAAGAAGTAACATGTCGGATGGCCAGGGCGAATAAGAAAGAAAGAAAGAAAGAAAGAAAGGGAAGCGAGAAATAAATAATTATAATTAAGTAATTCATCGTGTCTAGAAGAAACCTCGACAAAATGCAGAAAGCCATGGATGGCCGTTTTGTCTTATATTTGGGACTCATCTTCAGCACGCATCCACTACCAAGAATTGAAACTCGGACAGTTAAGTTATCAAGCCAACGTCATGCCAGCTGTCCCAACGGGCCTCGGTGGAGAAGAGTTATCGAATCAGACATGATATAGCGTCGCTCGATCACATATTCCGTAGTGGAACTCATCAGAGTTTCTCTTTTACCCATAGGACTGTACCCCCACGAGCCACGACTACTATCACCAAGCCGCTCCACCCAGAGCATTAGAAGCCGGTTCAAGCAAGGATATACAAGTGATAGAAATTAGGGGGATTTGAGATAATTATAACTAAGTAATTATATAATTAGATAAATAAAAATAAATAAGTAAATAAATAAATAATTAAAAAATAAATAAGTAAATAAAAAATAAATAAGTAAATAAATAAATACATAATTATATAATAAATAAGTAAATAAATAATTAAAGAAATAAATAAAATATATCGAAAATGAAAGAAAGAAAGAAAGAAAGAAAGAAAGAAAGAAAGAAAGAGAAGTAGGAAACAGAGAAATAGTAGTTCAAAAGAAAAAAAAAACAAATGAAGGGAAGGAAGGAATAGACCAAGAAAGTAAGAAAGAAAGATGGAAACGATAATGACGCAAAGAAAAAAAGGAAAGAAAGAAGGAAGAAAGAAAGAGCGAATGAAAGAAAAAGTAGAAAGAAAGAAAGAAAGAAAGACAGAAAGAAAGATATAAAGAAAGAAAGAAAGAAAGAAAAGGAAGCAAGTAAAGAAAAAAAACATAGGAAGAGTAAAAGAAATAAAGGGAGCCTAGAAATGTAGTAAGAATAGGTAGAAATAAAGAAATGGCAAGATGAAACGAACAAAGGAAGAGAGAAAGAAGAGGTAATAAGTAAAATGAAAAAGGTAAAAAGAAAGAAAGAAAAAAAGAAATGAAAAGCAAAAGGTAATAAATAAGAATGAAAAAGGTAGCTAGAAATAACGAAAGAAATAAAGAAACAGTGAACAAGGATTAGAACAAAAATGGTTTCAAGAAAGAAAGAAAAAAAAAGAGAGATAAAGAAAAGGTAATATGTAAGAATGAATAAAAGGGTAAGAAAAAAAAAGAGAAGATGAAGTAAAAATAGGGAGCCATAACACAAAGAACTCTGAACAAACTGGTATAATAATATGTGTGTACAGAGCGATCTTCTAATTGAAAGAAGCGATGAATTGCAACGGTTTCCCACACAGATTATATCCCGATCTTTTTGAATGGACAGGGGAAATTAGCTTCTTTTAAGATGGACTGCTCAAGCCGTTCTTCTTGGTCGTATCTTTTATTCATTCACTTATTCACTAGCTCATTCGCTAATTCATTCTTTGCTATACTCATTCATTCGCTTCAACTCTCATCCCTTCATTTATTCTCGCTGAAATTACTGCAGGTTTTTTATTTTTTTATTTTTTTTATTTTTCTCTCATTTTATTTTCGTAGCGTTTTTCCAGCATTTTAGTTTTTTCCTTCTTTATCTTTTTCAATGCATTTCGTTTCTTTCATTCATTCTTTCTTTTTTCATTCATTCTTTCTTTCTTTCTTTAATTGTTTTATTCCGTTTCGTTTTTTTTTCTTTTTCGCACTGGATTGTTTACGTTATTTTATCTTTCATTTCTTTCTTTTTCATTCTTTTTCCTTCTTTATCTTTTTCAATGCATTTCGTTTCTTTCAACGAAAGGTTAATATACTTCTTTCTTTATTTCCTTCTTTCTTTCTTTTTCATTTTCTTTCATTGTTTATTCATTCTTTCTTTTTTCATTTTTCTTTCTTTTTTTATTCATTTCTTCCTGTTTTCGTTCTTTCTTTCTTTCTTTCATTGTTTTATTCCGTGCCATATTTTTTTCTATTTTTTCCCATTGGATTGTTTACGTTATTTTATCTTTCATTCCTTTCTTTTTCATTCTTTTTCCTTCTTTATCTCTTCATTTTCTTTCTTTTTTATGCCTTTCTTTCTTTTTTCATTCATTCTTTCTTTCTTTCTTTAATTGTTTTATTCCGTTTCGTATTTTTTTCCTATTTTTTCACACTGGATTGTTTACGTTATTTTATCTTTCATTTCTTTCTTTTTCATTCTTTTTCCTTCTTTATCTTTTTCAATGCATTTCGTTTCTTTCAACGAAATGTTAATATACTACCTTCTTTATTTCCTTTTTTCTTACTTCCTTTTTCATTCTTTTTCTTTATTTATCTCTCCCAACACTGTTTATTATAATTAAACTTTTCTATTTGCCTTTCTTTCTTTTTCCTTCTTTCTTTCTTTCTTTCTTTCTTTCTTTCTTTTTTATATATCCTCCTTTCTTTTTATTTTTCTTTACGCTTTTCTTTTTATTTCTTTTCTTTTTAACTTTTTTCTTCCTTTAGTTTTCCCATGTTTTATTTTGTTATTAGGTTGGTGCAAAAATAATGACGTAATAATGTCGTTTTTTTTACCTATTTTTAACGTCAAAAAACGACATTCTTACGTCATTATTTTTTGCACCAACCTAATAGTTTCTTTTTCTTTACTCTTTCTTTAGTTTTCTTTCTTTTTTTCTCATGACAATGATAATAGCTTGCTTCTTCTTCCGTTTCTTGTTTCTTTTTCAATTAATGATGATTTTCTAATAGGCTTTTGCCACTGCTTATGCTTTGCCATCTTTTGTTTTATCTCGCTTGATAAATGTATCTTATTGCCACACATAGGTAAAAAATCTTACATCACATAGACATATTATTACACTAGGTACATAGGTACATTATTACAACACAGAGGTACATTCATACATGTACGTAACGTAATTGTGCTGCAACAAATTTGGTAGGAAGAATCGAAAACCAACATCCAAAATTCTTCCCGTCCTGGGTATGAAGATAATCTTCATCCGCGTCCAGAGTAGGACAATAAACTACGTCCAACTGCAAGGTCTCTGATCAAGACATCTTGAGAAATGTAGAACCACCTCTTAATTGCTGGTGCTCCCAGCCCTGACCCGAGGTGGTAACACTTGTTAGGGTCCCATCTATAGGAAAAGAGTTACCCCTAAACTGGGGAGAAAACACTATGAAAGTGTAAAAATAAATTTTAATACCTGAAAAAATATTTTTGTGGAAAAATTATTACCAACAATACATTATCACCAGCAATACGTTTTTGAAGGAAAAATATTGCCATCAATACATTTTTGTAAATAATTATTCAGTCAGTTATGTGCCATGCAGGATACATGCTTAGGCGATCATGTATCTTTCGATACATGACAGACCAGACAGATTTTTTTTTCTGAAGTAGGTTGACATTTCCTTCTGCGGTAGACCAGTTGCCATCCACGACTATAGAACTCCGTCTGTCCTGCTATTTACCCATAGCCGGGCGAGAAGAAGAGGATTCATATTGGCGTAATAGATAGCGGCTCGGGTTGAGGAATCAGAGAACCGTGTTCGAATTCCAGTCGAATCAATTACATTCACTTACGCGCTAATACTCTTGGGAAAGGTAAGAATCCTCTTCTTCTACCCCTAGATATGGATAATTAGTAGGACAGACCAGGTACTATAGCCTTGGATCGCAGTTCGTCTAGCACAGAAATAAATGGTAACCTACTGCTTCGTCAGATATGTATCGAAAGATACATGATCGCCTAAGCATGTATCACGCATGGCACATGATTAACAGGGATAAATATTACTAGCAATACATTTTTTTAAGAAAGAATATTACTAGCAATACATTTTTTTAAGAAAGAATATTACTAGCAATACATTTTTTTAAGAAAGAATATTACTAGCAATAAATTTTTTTAAGAAAGAATATTACTAGCAATACATTTTTTTAAAAAAGAATATTACTAGCAATACATTTTTTTGGGAAAAAATATTAACAGCAAAAAAAATCTTGTCAGCATTAAATAACCCATTGAGGTTGAGATGCCGTAAAACAAAACAAACATAGATAAATATATAGATAGATAGATAGATAGATAGATAGATAGATAGATAGATAGATAGATAGATAATATTTTTTGGATATTTTTCGATACATTTTTGGAAAAAATATTAACAGCAACAAAAAAATTTTTCGTCATCAAATAATACATTGATGTTGATATGCTGTAAAACAAACCAAGCCAAGCCAATATATACTGAGATAGATAGATAGATAGATAGATAGATAGATAGATAGATAGATAGATAGATAGATAAAAAATATTAACAGCAATAAAAATCTTGCCGTCATTAAATAACCCATTGAGGTTGACATGCCGTAAAACAAACCAAGCCAAGCCAATATATACTGAGATAGATAGATAGATAGATAGATAGATAGATAGATAGATAGATAGATAGATAGATAAAAAATATTAACAGCAACAAAAATCTTGCCGTCATTAAATAACCCATTGAGGTTGATATGCCGTAAATCAAACCAAACCAATATTCTTCATTATACTGCGGCACGAAGCAAGGTCAGTTGTTAATATGCGACTGACTTCGTTTAGTCTACGACGAGGTCGTATATTTTGGATACCAAGTCAAGAAGAAATTCACTTCACAAATATTAGTCTTTAAGAAAGGCTTATTAATGAAATCTCAATGATGATGCAGTCGCCATGCACGCCTCTTCTCGATGAAAAGGCTTTTACATTTGTTTTCATTTCTTTTTTTTATTATCGGTTTCTTTATTTCCTCAGATTCCTAACCTATATTTTCCTTTTTTCAAATTCCTACATTTTAGCCTTATTATTTTTTCTCTGCACAAAGTAGACAGTAAAAAAGCTAGAATAACAAACTAAAACAGAGTTGGCCAAACAGACGCTCGCAAGCCACATGCGGCTCATTAATCTTACTTATTATAAAATGCAGATTGTGTGTGTGTGTGTGTGTGTGCGTGTACGTGTGTGTGTGTACGTTTATATATTGGATCGGATTTCCTACATTTTTCAACCGATTTCAACAAAACTTCACAGAACTACGTAAAATTACCTTGCGATGGTTCTGACAGCGCCAAAAATTGGAAAAACACAATTGTTTTTGCACAAAATCAATTTGAAAACACGATTAAGAGGCATTGCGAGAATGAAAGGGGGACAACTCATATCGAGTTATACTTATTACAAAACCCAGGTTTGTGTGTGTGTGTGTGTGTGTGTGTGTGCGCGTTTATATATGGGATCGGATTTCCTACATTTTTCAACCGATTTCAACAAAACTTCACTTTTTTTTGGTAGGTAGTGTTTTATTATCTTGCACACTTTTTTTTTTTTATTTTTACATTCAGAATGCTTTAAAAATTCCATTTACAAGACAATTGTTTATAATAAAATTCTATTCAATCGATAGACTCATAACAATTGAAAACAATGTTTTTGTTGAGTTTGTGTTTCACCAATTCTTAAAAAAAAAAAAAAAAAAAACTAATTAAGACATGCGTGTCCGTCAACCTTAAACAATAATCTTTGACAATTTTATTTTTCAGTCTTTATGAGGGTCGATACTTGATCTATCTCTTACTGTTACATTCCCGGGCAACACCGGGCTCTACTGCTAGTCCTTAATATACGGCATGTTGAAATATGTTGGTTAAGCTTTTTTCATCACAGTTAATATAAAAGGCAAATAAGAAAAACTTCAACCTTTATAATTATTTACTGGATATGAATTGAGATTTCATTGCATTAAAATGTAAGTGTAATGTTAATGCGTATGTAACAATTACGTATGTGTAAATTTGGTTCGAGTTTTACGTTTCACGTGGCCGTGTTGTTAGAACGTTCGTATTCTAAACATGAGACCCTTGTTCGAATTTTACCATGGTCAATTTGTCAGGGAGGAGACTTCTTTATGTTACCGGACTGGAGGGGTCGATCATAGCGTGCGGCACATTTAGAAAGTGAAATTGTGTAGACAGAAACCTTGGACGCCGTCGATAGCTGTGCTGGTACGAAGTCAAAAATCATCATGGCCGATAGATAACACGCTCAGTATACGTCTATATTTCTGAGATGAGGTATTATATCAGGCGTTAATTTAGATCCAGTGACAGGACCCAAAGAATGTGAGTTCAATATCCGGTTAAGGCAGTGGAGAACTTACAGAGCAAAATTAACAGGAGATAACTGATAACTGACATCCATTAAACATGGTACGTGAAACTAGAACAGTCTACCCCAGTGAGCGAAATAAAGGGTTCAGTTCGACATTCTAACGACCAGAAGAAAGCCGGAGTGTACAACGGCCGAAACGTTGTAATAAATATGGCGGCAAAGATGAGGACAATAGTCCGAATAATGTAAATAATGTAGATAACACGCTCTTTCCCTGAAACTGTAACTAAGGTCTGTTCAGCATAGTTGCAGTATAAACCATATGTGGGCTCTGTGGGTGTTGAATAAACACAAATGTGCCTGAACAAGAGTCTGCAATGGGGATTGGCTACCCGCCCTAGTAAACGGGTATCCTCGAATACGAGTGGCCAACTGTACATACTCACGTCTTTCACACATCTGAATTTTATTGTATATGGCTCTTAAATTAAACAAGTTTGGCCACCCGAATTTTATGCAATTACAAGGAGACAGAATTTATGGTTGTCTGCGATAGGAACAGTCTAACATATGAACTACTAATCGAAGATATCAAAATAAATCTAGTATGAAAATTTTAAGTAGATGAACGTAGCTCCCCACAACTTCCACAAATGTTTTAATGTGAAACCGAAAGCCGAAAGCCTTTTAGAATAGCGAAAGATGCCTTTCAAAATCTCAACAAAGTATTAAGAAAAGTTTCGTTGGTAATCAAGAAATGAGTAGTTAAGTTTTATGTAATATAAGACTTTCTCTAGGGAAGCGAACGTTTGACCATGACCTCATATAAAGAAGGGACTTGAGGCAACAGGAATCTGTTTATATAAGGGAACATAGAAATAACATGATCCCAAAATTTTATTGAAAATGGGAATAAAGTTGACACAGGTGCATAACATCAAAAAGAGACATTTAAAATTTCTAGTACATTAATTAAGGAAAGAGGACTTCGAGAATTTGCCAATCAGAGGGCATTCTGATAGCAAGTGGGAAAAATAAAGCAGAGAGAAACCTACGTACTGAGTTTGTGTAAAGGGAGAGTAGAACAAGGATTGCGTTGTATAGCGAAAAGAATGGACGTTAGTCAAATGTACAAAGTGTAGGAAGTTGTGGAGAGGCATAAATGCTCAGCTCTTCCAGAGACACGGTGCATAGGAGAGGAAGAAATCTTTTCTCACTCCTTCTTGCTGATAAATCTTTATCGTCTGTCTGTCATTTACCATCCCAGCTCTTTTCTCACACAATTTAACCCTGTCTTTTCACTCGAACATTCCATTCATACTTTCATCCGTTCTGTCGAGATTTTCCCGCCAGATTTCGTCTTTCATAATTTCCCTTATTCACAGCAACCCCTCTTTTCTTGCTGCTATTTATTCAAGGTCGTATCTGCCACTACCACCATTTCCACAACCCTAACTGCCATTTCATTTGTGCACAACCATTCCCAATTTCTATCTTCTTCGCCATTCTTCCTAATTCTCTTTTCATTTTTTTTTTCTGTCCTAACCAATTCTCCATTACGTGACTGACATTTCGTCCCAATTCTGTTCCTTTAACATTAAACCTAGCACGCATGTTCAGCCATTTTTTTGTCTTGTTCGGCTTTCGTTTTTTTTTATTACTATTCAACTTGATAATCATTTTCCTCTCTTTGACAACCTCCATTTTTTTTATTATTCCTGTTGGTTTAGCTCGTTAATTATACTAACAAAAGTGTTTTTTACCATATTGCACACTCAGTGAAAGGCTGAAGAGCCAATCAAGGTAGATTATTACTAAATAAGGCTGTTTCATGGTCTCAAGAGAATAATGCAAGAAGTGGCCTATATTAAGATATATATATATATATTTACCAAATTACAAAATTCATATTAAAAAAAAAAAAAATCTCACTTGAAATATTTGAAATTTAGCGTTGCGAGTTGCACGTTCCAATATTATATAACTGTTAATAAATAACACATTCTTAAAAAAAACATCTTTCGGTCTACAACACATTTATTTCGTCTTCAGCCTGATGAAGAGAACATGAAGTTTTTGAAAGTACTTGCTGCTCTAAAAATACACCAGATCCATCTGACTACCATTTTATACATATGGATCGCATCATTCAGTGAATTGTTAGTAGGTTAATGCTTATATTAAATCTGTTAGCGAAGTCTTTATTTTAAAAGAAATAGCTAAATTCACTATTCTAGGTGATTTTAGTTATATTAGATCCAGGAGTGTAACTAACCAACTGCGTATGCTGACAATGTAATCGGCATATTGCGTTTTAAATTCCGTCAACATTGTTTATATTCTCCTACATACTTTTATGATAATGTAATCATGGGTCTCCACAACTTCCTCTTTTATGTTGTTTTAAGTAATCATTTGAACTTTTATTATTACTTTTTTACCCTGGCCTTCTCTCTCTCTCTCTTTCCTCCTTCTCTACACGGTGGATTAGTGGGTAGCGGCTCGGACTGAGAGTACGGAGTGCGGAGTTCGAATTCCAGTAGGATACATTACATTCGCTTACGTGCTAATGAATTTTACGTGTTAATTAATCCGCTTCTTCTCCCCTAAGCTATGGGCAAATAGCAGAACTGGCAGCGTTGTATAGTTTTGAATGGCAAGTGGTCTAGGAGAAAGACAACACTGAATCCAGAACGTACGGAAAGATGTTTGGGGACCTTGAGGTACGTAGTGCATCGGGTTTCTGTATTCTGCCCTTCAGAATGTGTGGATGCACAAAGTCTTCACCACGGTAATCAAATCATACATACTGGTGTTTTGGTGTTGGTTCCTGGGAACTGAGCTCCATGACACAAATAAGTCCACCATATAAGGATAAAAAATGTATATACACACACAAATACTTGCTCGAACGTAAGTATATTCATTCCTCGGGTGTTATAAATACGGTGAGAGATTTTATGAAAAAGATATATAAGCATATATTAGTGAATATACATAATATCCAATGTCGATAACAATAATCAGTCTTTCAATATTTTGCATAGTCACTAATATATATATATATATATATATATATATATATATATATATATATATATATATATATATATATAAAGTCTTTCACCTATCTTGGTAGTAAAGTCAATTACAGTGGAAGTTTGGACGGTGAAATCCTGCATCGGATTGCTAAGGCTACCAGTGCTTTCGGCAAACTTCGCCATCACTTGTGGAATAAGCAGGTTATTCGACTGGATACGAAAATTCAGTTTTATAGACCTGTTGTACTTACCATTCTTTTGTAGCGCTCAGTGTCGTGGACTCCATACAGGTACCATATAAGCCAGCTAGATGTTT